TATAATATTATAATATATTATTTTATATTTTACAATATTAAATTAATATAAAAAAATATATATTAATAATAAATATAATAAATAGAATAAATTAATAATAAATTAGTAATAAATTTATAATAAATAATAAATATAAAATATACAATTATACACACATCGATATTACCACTATCTACTATTATAATATCTGTTAGCATGGAAGATTAAAATTAAAGAATGTGAAGATTCACACACGGTGAAGAATTAAATGTCAAATGTATAATATTTGTGTTTATTCTTTTAGATGAATACTTTCAACATATCAAACAACCACATGTAAATTTTCTACATTCTTCAATTTCGATCTTCAACGATAACATATTTATCTAATGAAATTGAATTGTGAAATATCAAAGATCGATTATATAGCATTTACCATGCTATGATTTAGCGTTTATGGACATGGGATATCTGCTTTATAAGGAAGATTTACGGTAACGACGTACGCACTACTGCTTGACTCAAGAGAAAGGGAGATTGATAGTTCAGTCAATTGAGATTAAACGATCTTTCGTCGAAAATACAACGGCACCATTGAGATTCATTTATCTGTCTGTCTATCTATCTCTCTTTCTATCTCTTTCTCCCTTCCTATCTTGTTTCCTTCTGCAATCAATTTAAACATCATAAATGAAATTACATCATAACTCAACAATTTAATCTTATATTACCTAGAATCATATTTTTTGAAAAATATCGTGGATATATCATTTCACTCGTGACGAGTAGTAATTCATAATTTTAGCTACTTATACTACTTTGAATTAGCTCATTCGTTATAATTTAATTATATATTATATTATATATTTATTTATATTAGCTATTTATTAATAATCTAATAATATATAATTTATATATATATATTGTAATATATTTAATTTAATAAATAATTTGTCAATTAAATAATTGAAATATTATATAATATAAGTATATATAATATAAATTAATATAAATAATTTAATAATAAAATATATTTTCCTATATTGTAATTCAAATATAGTATCATCTTTCTCAATTGTAAATATATTACATTGAACATCCTTTATACGTTTAAGTATTTTCTTTCTTTTTTTTTTTTTTAATTTTACTACTAATGCGACGAGAATATTTTTAGTTTACAACAAGAAAGAATTATGGCGAGTACACGATCTAATAAGTTAATTATTCTCTTTCCTTTTCCAAACTTTTTATTTAATTTTTTCTTCCTATTTTTTTTTTCTTTCGTTCGGAAGGAAGAGAGAACAGCGTTAAAAAAAAAAAAACAGGAAGGACAATTTTAAATATAAATTACGAGTAGTTGGTTCTCATTTCTCTGTATTACATAACCACTTTTAGTTCTATTTTTGTTTTATTAATTTTGTAACATTCTCATTTTCGTGAAAAATGTAAAAATTTTCAGTTGCAGTACGAGAGTGAGAGGAAAAAATAAAAAGTAACGAAAAACGAATGATTCGTTTCTATTTTATTTATTTATTTTATATATATATGTATTTTTTTTTTTTTTTTCATTTAAAATATCGTAGTTGGGTAAAGACTGACAGAGTTCAAAATACGATGGAAAGGACTTCGTGACGGAAATAGAAAATATACAGAAACACTCAACCACACCACACACACACACACACACATAAACCTTAATATATGGTGAACAAAAAAAAAGTGACGTTTCCTTTTGCCAGATGGTTCCGTTCTCTTGGAAAATTTGAAAATATTTGAAGAACGAATTCGATGAGGAAAAAGTAGAAAATAAAATTCATGAAAATAGATGAATGATGAGAGAAACGTACGATAATAAAGTATGAGAAAGGTATAAACGGGTGTAACAAAAATGGGTAGGGTTGATTTAAAATTGTTCCTGTCGTGTCGTGCATTTTGAATAAAATGAAATTATCTCTCTCGTGTATATTATCAACGTGGAAACAAGCGTGGAAGGTAACAGCGCGTTTATACGCACGAGTCCGGGCATTTATAAAATGTCCGACACCCCCTTAAATTGTCGGTGTACACGGTAAATTTGATTTACTACTTTTGATTAATTCGAATGCCGACAAGATAGTAAAGTTGAAATAAGTGATAGATAATTACAGTAAGATAAGATAATAATTTTTCTACGATTTATTTGATCATATAAAAATAAAATCTAAAATTTAAAATCATTTGTAATTTGTTTAATCATTTGTTTCGTTGATAATAAATACTATTTGATAAAAATAATTATAAGAAATTAAATAACAAAAGTTGTGATAGATAATATAAAATATATTTCCCCATTATAATTAACCCTACGCATATATATGTCCAACTAAAGCACTCCGTGTGAACTAAGGACGCATATATGCGTTTATAAATTTTGTCAAGTTACATTGGCTTGAAATTCTTTATATTATTTTTTTTTCTTTTTTATCAACAAGATGTATTTTTTATCTTTATTTTTATTTATTATCAAAATAGTTCGAATTAGTAGAAAAATATTATTTTACCTTCTGCAATTGCAATAATTAGGTGTGTTTTGCATTCAAAGGGTTAAAAATTAATTTCTTAACAAAATTAACCAACGATCTATAGCAATTTTAATGATTGTACTTTTTTTTTATTTTCTTTCACCACGACACGACGTATTTCGATTGAACACGAAGGGTTCAGAGGTGATTAATTGTAAGATTTAATTGCTCAACCTCTTTTTTGTATACCCACCCTTTTAATTCACGAAAAGCTGAGTTATCTTCTGCCTTGTAAAATCGTCAATCTTATTGGCGGTTTGCCACTAGCAGGCTGATGCGCCTTGTCGTGGTTTCTAACTGGAGAAGATCTCTCGTCAAAATGTCGGCAACGAACAACCTTCGAAACGAACTCTTATCGTTTGATTTATTTCGACCCGAGCCACAAAATATTCTAAACATCTGCAAATTTAAGAATATGTTTCGCATTTACGCATAACGAGTGATACACGCCGTGAAACTAAATCCTGCTACTATTTCATGACGAGTATGCTCGTCAAACTCATTTAACTGATTAAAACTTAAAATAACGATCGATCTATCGTTTTGTTCCCTCAATCGTTGAATCCAATCGAATTTTTTTTTTTTATTGATGTCCAATAAAAATGGACTTTTCTTCTCCACCTACTATCCAACGATTAAAATTGTGAGAAATGGATGATAGCACCTGTCAAAAATAAATGAACGATAACGAACCTTCGAATTTTTCGAAGCTAGGCTTCGACTAAAGCAAAAAAAAAAAACACAAATGGGGCGTTCCCGCGAGAAGGAAAAACAACAGCAATAGAACCGAAAAAAAAAGGAAAAAAAGAAAAATACAAAAAATATCCCCGAAATGTTTACGCTCGAATGAAAATTCGTTCGTTCATCCGCGTTCGTTGAAAAATTTACCAACCATAACGATACGAAATACGAAAACGTTTCTCTGATACATATATGTATATATCTATATATCTATATGTGTATATAAATTTTATCATATTTTTTTTTTTTTTTACGGCCATCAAATTCTCTTCAATTATTGGCTCAAAAGTATCTCGCTGTTTTATTTCGCGAAGTAATAATATTTTATACGCTTAATGTTAGGATCGTTAAACCAAGCTATACTTTCTCAGTTAAATTATTCGTAAGTTAATTACAAATTCTTTGGAAAAATTATAATTTCGAGAAAAACATTTTCTGCATCTCATTTTTTATTCTCCCCCCCCCTCTCCCCTTCCATCCAACCTTCTGTCCTTTTTTTCTCTTCGTTTCTTTTCCTTTATCAAGGGGAAATGGTTGCGTTTCTCTTCTCAAATAAAAAAAAAAAAAAATTGGATGGTAAAACGAATAGCAATAATCTTTCGAACGAATTTCCGGCAACTCGAAGTATGCTTTTAACGCGATAGTACTTTTGAAACTCTTATCAAGTGACTCCTTATGAATCCCGAAGTATAACCCTCTGTGGAATGAAATTTTCACGCCGGAGATTTTCTTCTTCGAAATAAGTCGACTAGGAGTTACGGTGTTGGTTTTAAGGATTTTCTAAGAAAAAAAATAAAAAAATAAAAAAAAAATTAAGTAGAAGTTGTTTCTAGCTAGTCAAACTAGTTTTTCAAAAGTAATAGTAAGCAATGGTTATTAACACGTTCCATGCCAAACCCTTTTTACCTGATTTGTCATTCAGACCATTTAATTTTGCTTTAACAAAATCAACCATAACATGTAATTATTAATTATTGTAAATATAACAATTAAACAAACTTATGTGCATTGTTCTATACTACATTTTGTATAATGCATCAATATTTTAATAGAAATATTCTTTTACATTTAGAATTAAATTTGTTATAAACATTTATTTACGTTTACCACTGGTGGTACACGTGGCAGGGAACGTGTTAATGATAGTAAGGACTTATATTTGAAAGCAAAGCATACAAAAATCATTCAATGATGTATACCAAACGTTCCTTCAAATTTATTTCCACCAAAATTCATCTGTAGCAAATAAAACAAGCATTAAAAATGATCTTTGTTAATCGTTCGTACATCAAATAGTTAAAACTACAATCTTCACATAGTACAATTTAAAAATGGTATTAATACTTCTACCTTTCAAGGTAAACAATAAAAACCATAGAAATAAAAATAATTTATAGAAAAATAAATTCTATAAAATTTCATGAGTTTACTTGGGTTAGTAGAGTAGATCATCGAACAGTGTAACCCTAAAATTAAAAGGATCACCAACGAGAAGATCAACGAAAGAAAAAAAGATCTAACTTCTCTGTTCTCCTATTACTTTACTTTGATAGGAATATTTTTTTAGGAATATTTAATAGGAATAAATTTGGAATATTATAAATTACAAATATGTAAAAAAAAAAAGAAGAAAATTTTTTAAAAACCTCCAACAAGAAAACGAATGAGCAATTTTTTATATACATAAGGATTATTGTTTTTTCAACCTGTTCTATACAGGAGTGACGATTCTGCTGTCGCTGACAGTTTTCCTGAACCTCGTGGCAGAAAGCATGCCGACAACCTCGGACGCTGTACCTTTGATAGGTATCTATAATAATTCATCAAATTCATCATGGTCATCGTGTTGTCGCATCCTGGCAAGCGTGTTTCTTTTTATAAAATGTTTGTTATACATACCTATTTATACATGTCTGTACATATTAACGTATCTACATATATATATGTACCTATATATATATGTATACATACCTGTTGCCTGGTCCAAATAATCCAATTTATTCAACACTAATTTGAATTAATTGAAATCAAGTATTAAACAATGATATCAGAATTTTCAAAACTGAATTCACCTAAACCAGTTAACTGTGACACCCTCGTTTTAAAGTGCGACACCGTTTTGTGTCACCAGAATCGAGCTATGACGTATATACTCGTCAATCACAGTTAACTGATTCAATGTTAGAACGTAGAATAAAATTTAAAAATTCAACAACATAGATTTTTTTTTGTTCTTATCATAGAATGAATCAAGGTGATAGACGAAAAAAGAAGTGCAAGTCATTAAAGAGATCGAATTTAATCGATCGGGGTTTTTTTTTTCTTAAAAAAATCGTCTAAAAAGATATTTGACGGTAAGATGATTGAAAAAGAGTCGGATTAACAGTGTCGTTAGGTTTTCTTCGGTGAAGTAATAGAGCGTGTAAATTTTTCTCGAATGTTTTCGGCAAAAATCCTCGAGAAACGAACCGAATCGATATTGAGACTTAGGAGAAACAGAGAAAGAGAGAAAGAAACATATATGAAGAAAGGAGAGAGAGAGAGAGAGAGAGAGAAAGAGAAAGAAAGAAAATAATTAAAAGAAAAAGAAAAAAGACATAAAAATATGTCGTCGGAATAATTCCCAATGGTAGAGCCTTAATTCGAAAGGAAAAATGAAAGAGAGAAAAAGAGAAAGAGAGAGAGAAAAAAAAGAAAAGAAAAGAAAGTAAAAAAAAAAAAAAAGGCGACTCGTGACAATTCGGGGGAAACAAGTTGAAAAAGAAAGTCCCTGAGAAAAATTGCGTTCTCGATAGTAGTTAGAACAAAGGTAGGTGGTATGAAAGAAGGAGTAGGAGTAGGAGGAGTAGAAGAAGGTGGGGAAGGGGTAGAGGAGAGGTAGGGTAGGATGTTGGAAAATGGAGAAAAACCGTTTCACCGAGTACCTGCTCGTTTGATCGTTTCGAATCGACTCGAATGCCCCTCGAAATCACTTGGTGGACGAGAAAGCTGCAAAGGCTCTCTTTTAGGTGGTGAGTCACGATTATATCCGACTCTCCTCTCTTTTCTACTCTTTCGTTCATCCGAAGTAAATCTATTTGGTTGAAAAGAAATAATGAATAAAAAAGAAAAACCTCATTCTATTTTAACTGTTAAACATTCTCTCTCTCTCTCTCTTTCCTTCTTTCTTCCTGATTTTCTTTTTCATCTTCTCTCTCTCTCTCTTTCTCTTTCTCTCTCTATCCCTTATTATCGTTGATGTAAAACGTTTTTGTAATGTGTTTGCAAATGTCCACGAATTTTCCTAAATTTATTTTCTTTTTTTTTTTTGTCTAGATCAAATTTAGTATTATAATTTATTCGTTGTTGTAAGGTATATTATTATTATTATTATTATAATTATTATTATTATTAATGTTATTATTATTATTAATGGATTAATATTAAAAAAAAAATTAGAATAGAAAATTTGCCAATGGTATTGCAATATTATTGAAATGATTTTCTTCTACTACTACCCCCACACCCACCCACCCTTTCAATAGTACTAAAATTTTATATTAGATTAATACAGTTATTGTGTTATGTTAACAAAAGTTTAAAAAAAAATCTATATAGCAATTGTTCGTAGATGTTCACGTTTAATCATCATCATCATCATCATCATCCAACAAGCATAACGTTGACAATATCGTCATTTTAACTTTACGAATGTGTAAAATTTTCGGTGCCACGTAGAACGTTATTGTTGGTTGGTTGTTGTTGTTGTTGTTAATATCGGTTTAACTTCTGTTATAATATAAATTTCTGAATGAAATTTGAGGGTTACTTGGACGAAAATTCGTCATGACGATAACACAGAGAAATAATATCAGACAAGGGGTTGTTGTTGGGCGTGTCACGTTTTAATCTAGATAATCTAAACTACCATAATCGTTTTAATACTCGATCAAGTTCGATTAACTTCGTATACGTACGTTTTGGATTATAATAAACACGACGAATGCTTCCTAAAGGTAAAACATTTTTCATCTAATGATTGACAATATAAAAAATCATTAATTCATAATAATCGTTTTAATTAATTAAAAAAAAAAAAAAATTAAAGATTAATATAAGCACAAAAATAATTTCACACGTTGAAATAATTAATTATAGTTATCGTTCAATACTGTATTTATTAATTATTAATATTATATCAAGAATAGTTAAACTATATGGTAACATAGGTATGATCATAATTTCTCGTGGCAAACAATTAGAGAAGTTTCTGCCACGAATTGCAGGGGGTAGTATATATATATATTTATATATGTGTCTAATATGTTCGTGTTAAGCTTACCGTTCACCACAACAAACGATATTAATCATAATACGCGCGTACTATTAATTTTCGAACGAAGAGATAAACTACTTGGTAAGGAAGATAGCAAGAGAACTGAGGCTGAAGTAGTAGAAGGGTGAAGTAGAAGGTAGGAGGAAGAGATTGGGAGTGTTTGGAAAAGGATAAGAGAAATTTTGGCACTCAAGACTAGGTTGGTAGGTAGGTGGGGTGTAGATGGGTGGGTAGGAACGTACATAGGGTAGTTAGAGATACGTGTAAGAGAAGATAAAATCGATCGAAACTACGCTTGGAAATGTCGGTTCGAGATTTCAATTAATCTCGATTTACTCCCAATCTTCGTTTGGTCGCTTCACCAGATGAGATTCGTTTGCAATAGCTGCGATTCAAGTTAACTGGATGATTTTTCTCTTTCTTTTCCTTACTCTCACTGTCTGTATCTGTATTCCTGTCTTTTTCTTTTTTTTTCTTTTTCTTTTTCTTTTACTTTCTATCTATCTCTCTCTTTCTTTTCTCTTACTCTCATTTTCTCTGTTCCAGTCGATAGTTCGTAGGTACGAGACGTGAAAACCACACAAACGGACCATATATTTCGGATAACGGTGACATTTTTCGTACGTGATAATTCATTCTCGGGGCCAAAATTCAATTTCATTTCGTAGTTTAACACTAACACCACCAACCAACCGCTATATAAACTCAACTCAACTCAACTCAACTCTTCTCTTCTCTTTTCTCATCCTACCACTCTGGTCCACTTGCTTCACCTTTTCTCTTCTCGAGAATAACCATAGTATTTTATTGAACAATTCGATGATCGAATGAAGAAAAAAAAAAGAAAAGTACAAACTATATCTCATTTCATCTCTTCTCTTCTACGTTTCATTCTTTTCTTCCCCCCCCCCAACCCTTTTTTTTGATTAATTTTATTCGTTCAAATATTCATCCCTAATCATTCCATTTAATTGGTATCGTGCTTCGGATCCAGTTTCATATAGGAAAAAAAAAAAAAAATAATAATAATACGAATAAGAGATGAAACGAAATGAAGGATAGGAAATATTTCGTCATAAAAAATAAAAAAAAAATAAAAAGCTTTGAGAGATCCGTCATCGTCGTTTTCGTTTTCGTCTTTTTCTTCGTGAAAGGAAACACCGAGTTAAAAGAAGAAGAAAAAAATTGAATGAAAGAAAGAGAGAAAGAAAAAGATAGATTGGTATAAAGAGGAAGAAGTAAGGGAGGGGTTAAAGTTTACCCAACACCCCTTGTGCTACGAATGCGACGCACATTTCCGAGTTACGCGAAAAGATGTCGGAGAAAAGTTTAATTAAACCCGCGAGTAGTAGTAGTATTACTTCGTCTTATTTCGTTTCTCTCTTTTTCTTGCTACTTTTTTTTGTTGTCGTTATTGTTACCACTCGTCTCTATCCAGTTTAATGCATAACAAAAAAGATTAGAGAGTGAGTTATATATATATATTAGTTATATATAAAAAACAAAAATAGAAAAATATTATAAGTTATAAATATAACTATATTTAGTTCTATATATAAAAATATTCTTATATTAAATAGAAAAAAAATAATATAAAAATATTTAAATATTAAATATAAAATGATTATATGTTATATATATATATAACTAAACATCCGTTGTTGTAAAAAAAAAAAAAAAAAAAAAAGAAATATCTTTATTAAATTATTTATATTCTTTGAAAATAAAAATATCTAAGAAAAGCAAAATGTTTTATTTTATATTTTTTTAATATATATATTTTTTTAATATCTTTCTCTCTCTCTCTCTCTCTCTCTCTCCTCTCTCTCTCTCTTTCTCTCTTTCAATTTTTATTCTTTTTCTTTTCATTTTATTTCTCTTAGAATTTTCATTTCTCATTTCACCATTTTATATGGGATAAAGAAAAAGTTGTAGAAAAGGTTCAGAGGACACGTTTCTATCTCGAAAATTGCACTCGAAGCATCTACTACTTTTTTTTTTCTTCTTTTTTTTTCTACTCTCTATCTCACTTTTTCTTGTTCTATTTCTATCCCTCTCTTTCTTTCTCTCTCTTTTTATCTCCTTAGCCTAGGCTTTTCCTCGATAAGTTCCTCTTTCTCGTAGCAATTAGTGGCAACGCGCAAGCTGACTCAAGGGCAAATGGAATTCTAATGGCTGATTAGCGATCGCTTTGATATAACCTACCCCCTTCCCCCTCTCTCCTACTCCGCCCCCAAACGGTTTGAATTACTCTTTTGATTAAAAGTCACCTCTCTCGTATCTTCCAATCGTACACGAGAAAGACAAAGAGAGAGAGAGAGAGAGAGAGAGAGAGTGGGTGACAGGGGGAGGAGGCAAGAAGGGAGGATATTTGTAAATTAGAACGATTTCAACGTTAGGATTACTCTAATATCTTATCTGTCAAAGAAATTCTAATCTATGTTTCAATCTATGCAATCTAAATCCTAATTAATAATCGTATCTATCGAAT